TGTAAAAATCAATAAAATATATTTTTAAAAAACACACCAAAATAACAGAAAATGTAAAGTGATGAGAAATTTTAGAGTGGTTGCTCCTAATCCATATTAACAGGTAAGTGATGTAGATTACCTGCTTACAACAACAACTCCCCCTCCTCCTCCTCCTCCACCTCCACCTCCTCCTGCTCCTCCTCCCTCTCTCTCTTTTTCTTTTGAATTCTGGTTCACTTTAGATAATTCTCTCAAAATCCTAGGCCTTCCGTAGAATATAAAATCTGGCCACCTTCTATCCTTTGAACTTTTACTACACTGGAGAAATCAAATCAGTAGATCAAAGTCCTTGTCTTCAGAAGAAGGCAGAGGACACCTGCAACTGGACTTTCTTGTCTTTGCAAATATTCAGTTTTAAAGTTGAGTTGCTTTAATATGCACACCCAGCCCTGTAACTTGTTACTAAAAGTTAAGGTATCACCTACTTACATGATAGTTAAGCTTATTATACGCCAAAGAATATTAACGTCCTTTCCTGATCTCCAAAGTAGCATGCATTGGGTTTGTTTTTAAATTCACTTTCTAAACCAGCGAATGGTTTTGGGGTATCCAAATATGTTTCCTATTTCATAAAAACTAACAGTGTTGACCAGCTATGTAAAAAGAAGTGGCTTCAGAGAGAAGGTGAAGTGATACTGGAAGCAGAGGTCATAGCGATGCCATTGCTGGAAGGGGGCCACGAGCCAAGGAATGCAGACAGCCTCTGGAAGGTGCAAAAGTCAAGGGGAAGAGCCTATCGGCTTCCGTAGAATTGGGACCCGGCCTGCTCCTGGACTTTAGCCCAGTGAGATCCATGTCAGACGTCTGATCTTCAGAACTACTGGAGATACATTTCAGGGGAAGTTTACACAGGAACTTTGTATTCAGTGTTGAATGTATATCCCAGGAATGAGTGGGAGCTCTTGAAAATGTTGACTCTCATTTAAACCTTTGTAGAATGATGGCAGCTTTGAGGACAGGGTTTAATCACATCTTGAAACCATATTCTGAAGATCGTGGGAAACGGGAGGATGTGTTGCAAGGAGAAACACAGGGCTGTAAAGATAATATGGTCTCTTGCCGAAACCTGTTTGGCTCAGTGGATAGAGCGTTGGCCTGCGGACTGAAAGGTCCCAGGTTTGATTCCGGTCAAGGGCATGTACCTGGGTTGCGGGCACATCCCCAGTAGGAGATGTGCAGGAGGCAGCTGATCGATGTTTCTCTCTCATCGATGTTTCTAACTCTCTATCTCTCTCCCTTCCTCTCTGTAAGAAATCAATAAAATATATTTAAAAAAGTAAAGATAATACGGTCTGGAAGCCCAAAGAGGCCCATTATTCAGAAAATACAGTTTGAGAGCAGACTAAGGACAGGACATGCTTTGATTTGGTTGCTGTGCCTGGACCCTGACCCCCTCTGGGAGTTTGCTTCAGTTTTGACCATTCTCTGGTCCCTGGAACAGGTTGAGATGTTTTTAACACCATACAAGATTAGCCACCTTGGTATTCGACTTCAAGTTCTTGGAGGCAGACACACAGACTGCAGACCCTAAAACCCCCCATACCCTGCTCATTGCACATAGCTGTTTTCCCTTACCCCTGTACAATCATCCAGCTGGCAGGAGAAGGGGAGGAGCAGTTTTTTCCCCAGGACATGAACCTGGGACCTTTCAGTCCACAGGCTGACGCTCTATCCACTGAGCCAAACCATTTTGTGTGTGTTTTTAAGTGGCTTCATACATTCCTTACTTGAAGAGCAGTACAGTTCTTTGCATCTGGGCTCTGTCTTTGGGGACTAACTCTATTTAACAATAGTCCTTATTTAGTTCATGAGCGGATACCCCTTAGAAAACCACGTCCCCCACGCCCCTGTCATAATTGGTTTGGGCATGGGCTGAAAAGCTTGTTCATTAGTATTTAGTAATCAACAGAACATGCTATTTTTGGAATCCAGCCACAACTTAGTGTAGAGGTTAACAGCATAGTCTTGTCAACTCCTATATCGGCACCTGCCAGCAGTGTGATGTTGGGGGAAATCAGTAAATCTCTCTGTACCTCTGTTTCTTCACCTTTAAGAAGGCGATAATCTTTTTAAAAAGGAGATGATAATAATATACACTTCATAGAGTTATTGTGGGGATTAAATACATGAATTGTGTAGCATTCTTAATAACAATGCCAGTTGTATAATAAGTGCTGCATGCCAGTTATTATTCAGTAGGCCTGGAGTGGGGTCCAGGTAACTGACTTTTATCTCCATAGTCGTTTAACCTTATTCTCTGTTAAAGACTTGGGATTTTTTTCTGATTATCTTCTTGGCAAAATTTCAATGCCTTATAAACTACTTCCTTGAAAATAAATAAGCTATATTTCATCATAACTCTCTGACTTACGTTAAGACAGACCACATCTGTGTCTATTAGTGTGTATATATATATATATATATATATATATATATATATATATGGCAGAAATATCCGTTCTTTTGTGACAGGTCCCAGGGATTTAGTATGATTTTTTTTCTTCTCAAATACCATCACTTGCGTTTTCTTTTCTCTATTCCATCTGCCAAACAGAAGGAGGATTCTCTACTTGCCTCCTTCTTGTTATTGTTGAAGCTCTATAGTAATAACTAGAGGCCCAGTGCACAAAATTTGGGCACTCGGGCCGGGGGTCCCTCAGCCCGGATTGTGAGAGGGCGCAGGCCAGGCCGAGGGATCTCACTGGTGCACGATTGTGACCGGGGAAGGACATAGGAGGTTGGCCAGCTAGGGAGGGACTGTGGGAGGGCTCCAGGGCGTGTCTGGCCTGTCTCACTCAGTCCCGATCGGCTGGACCCCAGCAGCAAGCTAACCTACTGGTAGGAGCATCTGCTCTCTGGTGGTCAATGCACATCATAGCGACTGGTCGACCAGTTGACTATATGCCCCCTGGTGGTCAGTGCATGTCATAGCAAGCCTTAGCATATCATTAGCATATTAGGCTTTGATTGGTTGACTGGCCGACCGGACGACTGGACACAGCATATTAGGCTTTTATTATATAGGATTATCCCCCTTACCCATGGGGAATACATTTCAGGATCCCCAGTGGATGCCTGAAACCACAGATAGTACCAAACCCTATATATAGTCTGTTTTTTCCTATACATACATACAAACATACCTATGATAAAGTTTAATTTATAAATTAGGCACAGAAGAGATTAACAATAATAAGAATAAAGTAGAGAAATTATAATATACTGTAAAAAAGTTATATCAATGTGGTCTCTCTTTTAAAATATCTTACTGTATTGTACTCAACTTTACACTTAAAGGAATCACTTTATGGCTTCTCTTTGGCATGTCAGAATTGCCAGCATCACTACTCTTGTACTTTGGGGCCATTATTAAGTAAAATAGGGTTCCTTGTGTCCTTGAACACAAGCACTGTGATACAGCTGACAGTCAATCTGATAACCAGGATGACTTACCAGTGATTAACTTGTGGGGAGCATATACAGCACGGATATGCTAGACCAGTGGTTCTCAATCTTCCTAATGCTGCGACCCTTTAATATAGTTCCTCATGTTGTGGTGACCCCCAACCATAAAATTATTTTTGTTGCTACTTCATAACTGTAATTTTGCTACTGTTAAGAATCGTAATGTAAATATCTGATATGCAGGATGTATTTAGGCGACCCCTGTGAAAGGGTCGTTCAACCGCCAAAGGGGTCTCGACCCACAGGTTGAGAACCGCTGTGCTAGACAAAGGGATGATTCATGCCATGGGCAGGTTGGAGAAGGACAGAATGAGATTTCATCATGCTGCTCAGAACAGCCCAAAATTTAAAACTTAGGAATTGTTTATTTCTGGAATTTACCATTTAATATTTTCAGACAGTGAGTAACTAAAATCATAGAAAGCAGATAAGGGGAGGGGGGTACTGTATATATAAATTCTCAAAATATTAATTTCAGTCAATTCTTGATCTCATCACTAATGTTAAGTAAGACTGATGGTGGAAAAGTACATTCTTCTAACTCACCCTCGCTCCAGCATAAGTTCCAATTTCACCTCATTTTTGCTAACACTGAGTAATTGTCTTTTAAATTAATAAAAAATGAGGTAAAATGGGGACATATACTGGACAGAATTTAAGTTAGTACAATGATTCCTGGAGAGCAGCCTCATAAGTATATGAAAACCCTCAAAACTTACCTAGGCTTTGAAATATATAAAATAGTTAAGACTAGCCCTAACTGGTTTGGCTCAGTGGATACAGCGTCAGCCTGCGGACTGAAGGGTCCCAGGTTCAATTCTAGTCAAGGGCATGTACCTTGGTTGTGGGCACATCCCCAGTAGAGGGTGTGCAGGAGGCAGCTGATCGATGTTTCTCTCTCATCGATGTTTCTAATTTCTAACTCCCTATCCCTCTTCCTTCCTCTCTGTAAAAAACCAATAAAATATATTTTTAAAAAATAGTTAAGACTATTACTCAGATGGGCAGTTCTCACTTGGAATTTCAGGTCATTGCAATCAGGTGACAACTGATACTGGACATCTGCTATGGTCTCTTTGCTCAAGTGTTTAGAACTCCAACTGGGATAACTAGAACTTCTGGGAACTGGCTCTATATCTCTCTATCTCATACATTCTCTTCATGTGACCAGCATGGGCGTCCTCACAGTGTGGTAGTCTCAGGGTAGTTGGACTTTTTAAAAATATATATATATTTCATTGATTTTTTACAGAGAGGAAGGGAGAGGGATAGAGAGTTAGAAACATCGATGAAAGAGAAACACCGATCAGCTGCCTCCTGCACACCTCCCACTGGGGATGTGCCTGCAACCAAGGTACTTGCCCTTGACCAGAATCAAACCTGGGACCTTTCAGTCCGCAGGCCGACGCTCTATCCACTGAGCCAAACCAGTTAGGGCGGTAGTTGGACTTTTTACATGACTGCTGACTTCCATGAGAACAAGCTTTCTAAGAGACGTAGGCAGTGGCTGCAAGACTACTTATGACAGTTTTGGAAGCCATTCAGTATCGTCCCAACTGCATGCTGTTGGTCAAAAGCAAGTCATAAAGACAGATCAGAGTCAAGGGGAAGAGACTACACAAAGGCACAAATACTTGAAGATGTAGAGGTGTGTGTAACTTTTTTTTTTTAAAAAAAAAGCTTTTTGAAGTGTTTATTGACTGTATATAAACCATGAAGTTAATTCTCAAGTGGCTATGAATGCTTCTTATTTACTGCAGGAAAATCCTGAAGAAGGAAGAGCCAGTATTTATAAATCAGTGATCATCAATACGTCTAAGGAGATGATGTGCTTCAGTGACTATCCTATTCCAGATCATTTTCCTAACTTCATGCACAACTCCCAGGTCCTGGAGTATTTCAGGATGTATGCCAAAGAATTTGACCTTCTAAAGTATATCCGATTCAAGGTAGGGAATTTTGTGGGTACCTTTGTGTTTGAGGTTGTTTGTCAATTGCATGAACAATATGGTTTCATTTACCAGTGCTTACACATAAATATTGGTTTGATATCAATGTATCTATACTATCTAGACAAAGACTGCACTCTTTGTCTTCTTTGTGCCTGAAAAATATTTACAGAAAGGTCTTTGGCTGCAGCTCTAGCAAGCCACCTGCCAGAATGTTTTCATTGCCTGCATGTTATACTATTTGATTACAATAAAACAAATGAGGGGGAATGTTTTTCCAGTCATAGAGGGAAACTGACAGGTATGGGAACTTTAGAATCCTCTGGTTCTACAACTTGTCCACTAGTGCTTAGCCCTTTTATACTTTTCTGAAGTATTTTCCAATGCATTGTTTTATGTAATCACAGCAACACAGTGAAGTGGTTATTGGGAAGTTACTAACAAAGCAAAAAAGTTAGCTCTGGTGAAGAGGGAATAACACTGAATTGGGCAAAAAAACTTGAATTCTAGTCTTTGTTCTATTACTAATCATCTTGTGACCTCAGAAAAGTTCCTACACTTCCACGTGTCTTAATTTTCTTTTCCGTAAAACAAGATGCTTGTACTAGGTCACTTGTTTCTTCCTGCTGTAAAGTCTTCCATACTTTTCTATAGTTTTTAGCCACATTTACACAGAAATATGCAACAAGCCTGAATCTTCTGCCTTTTTTTTCCTTGGATGATAATGCTGCCAGAGAAGTACTTGAGTGGGAACCATCGTTGTCCGGTTCTTGGGGCACGGCTGAAATAAACATTTTCAGAAGCCCCCACGGAAGGATGAGTGGTGGTAGTAGATTGTATTGGCACAGAGTTACATTCCTCTGGTTCCAATGTCCCATTTCCCCAAAACCAGTCCTGGAAGAGGAGCAGCTGGAAGTTCATCAGAGCTGGAAAGAGAGTGAGCGTCCAGTTTCCCTTCTGTGTTGCAGCTGGGTCTGGTTCAGCATTCAGACTAGATTTTAGTCAGTTAGTCTGTGTGTGGAGTCCAACATGGCTGTGGACCATGTGGGTGAAAAGTAGCTCAGCCCAACACCAGCAGGAGTCCCAAGAGGGCTAGGGCTAGCGTGTGTGTGTGTGTGTGTGTGTGTGTGTGTGTGTGTGTGTGTGTGTGAGAGAGAGAGAGAGAGGGGGGGGGGGGAAGGAGAGAGAGAGCGCTAGAGTGAGCCAAGTGCTCACTTCTTTGTTTAGAAGTTTAAATATTTTAGGTTTTGTGCACACTTCAGTGGCCATGCTCATCCATCCTGGCCAGTTACCTGTTTCCAGGTGTGATTGATAGGCAAGCATTTCCCACGTCACTCAGACCCTACTGGGCACGTATCTAAACTGCCTCTGTCTAGTCCCTTCCCCCATCAATGAGTGGGGAACAGGTTTGGACAGTGTTGAATGTAGCTTTTTGGCATAGCCATATAAATGGCATGCCTATATCTTTTGGTCTCCCCTTTCACCTCTTTCCTGTTAAATAATAACCAAGTTATTACAACAGTATCAAAAACTCTTAGAATCTACTCTCATAACAACTTTCAAATACTGGTATACCATACAGCAATGTTAGCTATAGTTACATGTAGTATATTACATCCCTTGTACTTATTTATCTTATAACTGGAAGTTTGTACCTTTTGACCATCTTAATTCAATTCCCCTATCCCCACCTCCCTTCTACTTTCTGATCATTCAGCTAAATCATGCCTTTTTCTGTTTAACAACAATAATAAAACAGCAACATGCAGTGGTAACTTCCAAAGTAAGTCATTTTCAGCCCAGTAGTACTTCTCTTCGCTTGTTTAAACACTTATTGAACATGGTTGGTACCATTCTAAGTAGTGAAGATACAAAAACAAAAATAAAACAAAACCCAGTGATTGCATAGTCTAGTTAAAGAGATAGAAAAATGAAGAAAAAATTTTATTAGAAATGAAATTAATAAAAACAAAAAATGTTGACCTTAAACAAAAAGTTAGCCAGATATTTCTCCAGCAAAATGGGTTTATTCAGGTACAACAAGGAGTTGCAATCTGGAACAGGCAACCATGGTGAGCCACATGCAAGTCTGCTAAAGAGAGAGAGAGAGAGAGAGAGAGAGAGAGAGAGAGAGAGAGGACTCTTTTATAGAGGGGAAGAAGAAATTGGGAGGGCAGTCACAAAGAGTTCTCCCTTTTATGCTTCATGATTGACATAGGGCATGATGGATCCCCTCCCCCCACTTCCCACTTCATTTTGAATGAGATTTCTATTTACTTTTTTTTTTTTTTTTACAAGTGTTACAAAGCGATAAATGCTGTAGAGATCTATATATCGCAGCTCAGAGGAGGGATGCTTAACTCATCTGGGCATCAGTCATCAGGCACCAGGGAAGTTTTCCTAGAGGAGATAATTAAAGGCTGAAGGGTGAGCAGGAATCAGTCAAATGAAAAAGGTATAAAAAAGATGATCCAGACAGAGGCACCAGCGTGTGTAAAAGCAAGAACTATCAATAGTGCAAGATGGCTAGAGTATAAGGTGTCATGTCTCTATTAGACATGGTCATAGACCCTAGAAGCACATAGGAATACATCCTTAATGTTTCCTTAGGCTGGGTAGAATAACAGTTATTTGTTTGTTTGTTTGTTTGTTTAAAAACAACAAATTAATACCACTTACTACCCCATTTCACAACTTCTTCTTTTATAGTTATTTGTGAAATAGGCATTTATGGGAGCCACTGAGATGTTTTTCTACTCCACTAAGAATGGGAGCTCTATAGCTCAGTCACATGTTTCAAGTTAGACAATGAGGCCGAAACCGGTTTGACTCAGTGGTTGCGGGCACATCCCCGGTGGGAGATGTGCAGGAGGCGGCTGATCGATGTTTCTTTCTCATCGATGTTTCTAACTCTCTATCTCTCTCCCTTCCTCTCTGTAAAAAATCAACTATAGCTCAGTCACAAGTTTAAAGTTAGACAATGAGAACAAGACTTGGGGTAAGAAGACATCAGAGTCTTAGGATGTTTGGGGGTCAGGGACGGAATAGGCATTTATTACATAGAGCAGTGGTTCTCAACCTTCCTAATGCCGCGACCCTTTAATACAGTTCCTCATGATGTGGTGACCCCCAACCATAAAATTATTTCCATTGCTACTTCATAACTGTAATTTTGCTACTGTTATGAATCGTAATGCAAATATCTGATATGCAGGATGAATTTAGGCGACCCCTGTGAAAGGGTCGTTCGACCACCAAAGGGGTCGCGACCCACAGGTTGAGAACCGCTGACATAGAGTATCTTAGAAGCACAAGAGAAGCCTAAGCTTTATTCAAGTGTTGCATTGCCTTAGGGTAGTGATTTTCAGCCTTTTTCATCTCCTGGCACATGTACGAATTACTAAAATTCTGCAGCACACCAAAAAATAGATTTTTTGCCAATCTGACAAAAAGTAGGTATAATTTCAATTCATTCACACCAGATGGCTATTGTTGTGTTGGCTGTTGTCATTCATTTTTTTACTTGACAATCTAAGGGAAAAGAGGTCAGTGCCTCTGACTAAATAGTCAGGTATTGCATGTTTTAAAAATTCTTGCAGCACACCACTTGAAAATCGCTGCCTTAGGGCATAATCCCAGAGAACTAGTAATCTGCACTTTTCTAGAAGCGGAGAAATGACTTACTTGTGGAGTATGGAAATCAAATGCCCCTGCATGAGCCTTCTTGTGTGATATCAGCCCTGTGTGTCACTCTGCGAGGAGAGTCAGGTCAGGCAAGATGTCCACTGCAGAGGCTGTGGTTACCGTCCCCTGTTGCTATCACTTTCCTTTGCAGACCACTGTGTGCAGTGTGAAAAAGCGGCCCGATTTCCCCACGTCAGGCCAATGGGAGGTGGTCACGGAATCTGAAGGGAAAAAGGAGATGAATGTCTTCGATGGAGTCATGGTTTGCACCGGCCATCACACCAACGCTCACTTACCCTTGGGAAGCTTCCCTGGTGAGTAGCCTACCAGGAGGAAAGACCCTTGACCCATACCTGTGACCTAGTCCCTGAGGAATGGGGGGATTTCATTCTGAGTGATTCTGACCTTGGGATGAAATAAGGCTTGTCCTAATTCTGTACGTCCTCCTAAAAGATGTTGGGAGGTAGAGATAATGGTAACTTGGAGACTAGGGGAAAGTTATATTTAGTTTCACAATGACTTTAGTTTTTCTAAGAATCAAAAGAAAAAAAGGTGGAGTTGATGTGTATTAGGTTGAATAAGGATTTTCAGCAATCAAGGAAACAAACAGAAATACTGAGTTAATAAGGAAGAAATTAAAGCTTAAGGAAAGAACTTATTATCGTTTGGGGCCTGGATTTTTAGGCTCAAGAGCAGTCTATGTATATTCTAGAGTTCATAAAAATATGTAGTCCAATTGCCAAAACCGGTTAGGCTCAGTAGATAGAGCGTCGGCCTGCGGACTGAAAGGTCCCAGGTTTGATTCTGGTTAAGGGCATGTACCTGGGTTGCGGGCACATCCCCAGTAGGGAGATGTGCAGGAGGCAGCTGATCGATGTTTCTCTCTCATCGATGTTTCTAACTCTCTATCTCTCTCCCTTCCTCTCTGTAAAAAATCAATAAAATATATTTAAAAAAAATGTAGTCCAATTGAAATGGGAGTAGGTATTTAAAGGGGATGAAAAGACAAAAGAGAATGGAGGTTTTCTGAAGCCATTTGTATATTTGAGTCTACAAGTCCAGAATACAAACATCCTGATTGAAGCAGACTATTTATGATACAGAAGTCACAAGGTTCTGCCCCGAGGTGATGGGGGGGGGGGAATAGGCAAAAATATTCAGAAAGGCAAGTGTGCATCTGAGTAAAGGGAGGACATGTGGAGAGTATATGTTTTAAACTCTACACACTGCAAAAAAAAAAAAAAAAGTTTGTCAAATGATATCAGATAAACTATCGCCTGATCATTATTCTCCCTTATCTTGCAGGAATTGAGAAGTTCAGAGGACAGTACTTCCATAGTCGAGATTATAAGAATCCAGAGCGTTTCACTGGAAAGAGAGTCATTGTAATTGGCATTGGGAACTCTGGAGGCGATCTGGCCGTGGAGATTAGCCACACAGCCAAGCAGGTTTGAATCAGCAAATTATTTACTTTGCTTCTCCAAGAAAGCTGCAGGTGGACTCAACAGAGAGTAGGGATACCTGTACCTAGCCCATCAGTGCCGATGGCAAGTGGAGGGCTTGGTTTTGTTGCCTCGGTTGGCAACATGATGATTGATGATATGATGGAGCCAAGGTTGCCAGTTAGATTCCCATCATTCGATTGGCCTCACACTAAGGAATTAGTTCATGACCACGACTGTGGTCATAATCCCAGTCAGCTGTCTCTTCAGAGTGTGCCTCTGGCGCTGAAGAAGACCGACCAATTGATGGGAGAGCTTGTCAGGATGCAGCACCCGGAAGTGTGGATCTTCCGTTGGCCAGCGGAAGTGCCGTGCTCTTATGTGAAGGAAAGCACACGGGGTCATTGAAAGCTCTTCACTCATAGGATGGTGGGGGAATTTTCCTCTTTTCTCCCCAACTGGAAAAAAGAGGCCCTCTAATCTTTCAAAAGACAACATGCTTTTCAGTATGAAAGTGTCCACACTGTGGCACCTGCAGGCAGCTTGCCCCAGCCTTTGCATACCATTAGGCAACACGGAATGATATTTTCTCTAAAGCAATTTCTGTGTCCTTGAGGCTTTCTTATTTGTTTGTTTGTTTGTTTTCATCATAGATTTCCTTGAGGTTTCCTTGTTTGTTTGTTTTCATCAGATTTTGAACTGGAAAGAAAGTGTCATCATTATAAATTCCTAGAAAAAGACATGTCATTTTTATATTTTGTTATTCATGTCTTTACTGAATCATAACTGTCAGTAATAGTTAAATATCTGGTTGTTCTTCAGTAACTGTAATTAAGGTGTGCTTCCTCACAAATATGTTTTAAATTTTTTTAATATATATTTTTTATTGATTTCAGAGAGGAAGGGAGAGTGAGAGAGAGAAACATCGAACAGCTGCCTCCTGCATGCCCCGAGCCTGCAACCTGAACATATGCCCTAATTGGAATTGAACCGGTCGTCTCTTGGTTCATGGATCAATGCTCAAGCCCAGCTGGGCTTAAATTATTTTTTAAATAGAAGTTTAATGCCACAACTCTGTTACATGACCTATACTCAGAAACTCCATTCTCAGTCCTATCTCCATTTATCACCACAAAAATGATTTCAGATGCTCCATAAATTAATTCAACAGCATCTATCAAGAAATAGCTATCTAAACACGAAAGGGTGAACATGTGTGTGGGTGTTATGATAAAAAGAATGTACAAGGTATGTGGTGGGGACCCAAGGCATGAGCCTTCTTTAATATCATTGACTTGTCAAATGGTCAGTTATAAGGGAGCTAGGCCTTACATGCAACAAGAAATTGTAGATTGCCAAGGAACAAAGCATCCCACTTGGATGGAAATAAGGTAGTTGTGTCTGAGAGAGCCTGGGAAAACACATAGCAAAACAATGTCTGCCTAGCAGGGACAGCACTGTCACACCACTAAAGCAAGTTGAAGAAACTCAGTTGCTGGATATGACTCTTTGCTTTACATATTAAATTGTACTTATGAGAGGTGGTTTGTAAACCAAACATCCTATATAATCCTATATAATAAAAGTCTAATATGCAAATTGACCAAACGGCGGGAACGGCCAGTGGAATGACCAGTCACTATGACGCACACTGACCACCAGGGAGCAGATACTCAACACAGGAGCTGCCCCCAGCCCGCAGGTCCCAGTCTGGCCAAGGCAGGTGCCAGCCAGGGCCCCACCCCCCACCCCGATTGCCCTGCCAGTCGCCCCACAAATTGGCCCTGATCGCCAGCCAGGCCTAGGGATCCTACCCATGCATGAATTTTGTGCACTGGGCCTCTACTTTTAAATAAAACTATAAATGTCAGAGTATCAAGGACATTTTATTATAAGAATTCTTGTGCTATACTGCTTCTGTGAAGAGAAAACATTCCTTTCTTTTTTTATGAATCTACTTTTTATAAAATATGTTTCTATTGATTTTAGAGAGAGGAAGGGAGAGGGAGAGAAAGATAGGAACTTCAATGATAACAGAATCATCCATCAGCTGCCTCCTGCATGCCCCCTACTGGTTAGGGCTTGATCTGGATCTTAAAAATGAATAGGTTTTGGAGCATTAAGAGGATAGGGGCTTCTCAAGGAGGCGTGAGGACATTAAACGGAAATGCAGTGGTGATTAAGAGCAAGACATATTCTTGGTCAGTGAATACATCAATTTAATTGTAAGCTTAGTATCTGAGAAGGAAAATAGCAGGACATAAAAAAAAGATTGTGCAGGCGCTGAAAACCCAGACTAATGAGTTTAAAGTTACTCTTGAGGAAAACAGGGTACTTTTAAAGGATTATGAACCAAAGAATGGTAAAAGCAAATAATTTTTTCCTATGCCCCAGGTTTTCCTCAGCACCAGGAGAGGGGCTTGGATCCTGAATCGGGTAGCAGACCACGGATATCCTTTTGATGTGTTGTTCAACTCTCGACTTAAACATTTTTTGTCGAAGATGTGTGGTGAATCATTAGCAAACACATATTTGGAAAGAAGGATGAACCAAAGGTTTAACCACAAAATGTATGGCCTAAAGCCTAAACACAGGTATGTTCTCAGGATGGGACCAAACTCACAACCTGCGTCTGTGCCCTGACCAGGAATCAAGCCTGCCACCTTTTGGTGTATGGGATGGCACTCCAACCAACTGAGCCACACGAGCCAGAGAGGTACTAGTTCTTTTTATGTGATGTCCAACAACAACAAAATGGTGGTAGAGGCAGTGCATGAATCATTCATTCAGTCAGTCATTCATCCAACAAACAGTGAGCACCTCTTACAAGCCAAGCATTATCCTGGGCATGAACTTACAGATATTAAAGATCTAATAGTAATACTAATACAAATAATAACACCTTACCTTTTTTGAGGACTCAATATGACAAGCACAGTACTAAATGAGTTATATGCATTATCTCATTTAACCCTCACAACAGTCCTATAGATTGGTGTTTTCCCTCCATTTTACAAACATTGATACTTAGAGAAACTATCCCAAGAGCACACAAGAAATAAATGGCAGATTCAAGAAGTGGATTTTACCTTAAATACTCTAATGGTTAGACAGAAAATAGGATAAGATGGAGAAATGCATGGCATGCTATGAGAGCATCAAGGATGGGATCCTCACACAGCCAAGGAAGGAGACTGAAAGCATTTTTAGATGCTGATTTTAAATCCAACTATTTTTCCCCTCCCACTTTTTATTTTTTAAATGTTCAGATTTACTTCATACAAAATAGTAAGGATAATGAGCACCACTACCTTTTACTTAGATTCACTATATTTGCTTTCTCTCTCTCCCCCTCTCTCTAAAGATAGATCCACGCATGTATATCATACATACTACATACATACATATTTTTTTCTGAACCATTTAAATAGTAAGTTGCAATCATTAAGACACTTTACCCTAAATTATTCAGCATACGTTGCCTGAGAAAAAGGGCATTCTCCTACATAAACATAAGACAATTATCACACTTGGAAAATTTAATATTGATAAAATATCATTATCTAATATATTCAAATTTACCAAGTTGCCCCAATAATATATATTTGTAGCTTTTTTTAATCTAAAATCCTAATAGGTATTGTATTTAGCTGTCCTGTCTCTTTAATTTCTCTTGATTTGAAATAATTCTCCTTTTTTATAAAGATCCAAGCCAATTGTTTTGCACAGAGTCAAGAAACCATACATGCACTCTCCAAATAAAACCATTCTTCCTTCACTTCTCTAACATCTTTCCTTTCAGTGCCATCCAGGGTACAACTTCTGCTCTGAGATCCTGATCTATGCCAATATCCATTAGATCTTTCCCAAATTCCATGGATAGACCAAGATGGAGACCCTTGGCATATTGTTTAACCGCCTCCATCAAAACAGAATTTTACTTCCATGATACTGATTTCTCTCTCCCTCCCTGCCCCCATGCTCACTCTTCTTTCTTTATTTTTGGTCTTCATCACTACTCACAGAGCTCTGAGTCAGCATCCAACAGTCAATGATGACCTGCCAAATCGTATAATTTCTGGCTTGGTGAAGGTGAAGGGAAATGTCAAGGAATTCACGGAGACCGCTGCCATATTTGAAGACGGCTCCAGGGAGGATGACATTGATGCTGTGATCTTTGCCACAGGCTACAGCTTCGCTTTTCCTTTCCTTGAAGATTCTGTCAGGGTAGTAAGAAACAAGATATCCCTGTATAAAAAAGTCTTCCCTCCTAACCTGGAAAAGCCAACTCTGGCCATCATAGGCTTGATCCAGCCCTTGGGTGCCATTATGCCCATTTCAGAGCTCCAAGGACGCTGGGCCACTCAAGTATTTAAAGGTAAGTAACCATGCAACTTGACGACTTAGTAATTACTTGTAGTATGTTCAATTCTATTTATGTTCTTGCTTTTATTTTTTTAGTTAAAATTTTCAATGTTGTCATAATTGCAGGGATCCCCCTTTTCACCACCCTTCCCTCACCTCCACCACCCCCCTTCCCACCCCTCCTTCCCTCTCTCCCTCCCTCCTTACGGTCCTCCTTCCCTTCCACTCTCTCTGAAAAGCAATGGAAAAAAATATCCTCAGGTGAGGATTAAAGAAAAAAAATAATAGTAAACTGATCACTTAGAATAAGAAGAGGAAGATAAAAAAATGTGGTAAAAATATAATACGTATCCGAACGAGTAAACACTGCAAGAACAGTGTCAATGAATTAAGAAAGAATTGTACCACAGGATATTGTATAAGTATATAGAAGTTTTTCTTTATTTTTAATTTTTTGCTTTTGATAAATTGGCTGCCTCTCCGAGGCAAGAAATATACCTCCTTCCCCATCATGTTTCTAGTTAATAGAAGTAAAAGTTATGGTTGTACTATAAGAAGCAATTTGGAAATCAACTCTCAAAATATGTTTCACAAGCATCATAAGGGACCTCTGCTTAATCTCAAATGAAGCATTTCAGTGTTCCCTCATCGACTTATAAGTAATAATTCCCAAATGAGAAAGCACATGGCAAAATACAGAAGTCTGTTTCTTGAGCGTTGAATATCGGAGTCTCACATTTTAAGAGGGACACCAGGAGAATAACTGGCGTGTGCCCAGAGGAGGGCAACCAACATGACAGAGCATGTGAAACCTGTGATGTGGGGAACTTGTGCTCTGCTGATGATGATAAGATTTGAAGAAGTTATGACAGTTGTTTTCAAACATTTGAAGGCCTGTCATATAAGATTACACTCCGTGGCTTCAACAGGCAGAGCTAAATCCAACGGTGCAAGTTGCATGGAAGTAGATTTGGGGATCAATAAAAAGAATATGTTCCAGCAACTAGAGCAGCCACACAATTAAATCATCTCCTCAGAAGGTAATGAGATCCCCGTCAGCAAAGATGTTTAAGGAGGAAAGAGATAACCATTTGATGACAGTATTTGTAAAGAGAAGGCTTGTGTTAGGTAAAACATATTACCACTCAGAATTTTATGGAGTAACACCTTATGGCTGGGTGTGACAAAAATGATCTACATGGCATAGTAGTGACTATAAATCTGGGCATAAAGCTAATTCTTTAAACTTAGAGTTGTTTATATTGGCTTACATACTATTCTACCTTTCTACCAGGTCCTTGATGTTAAATTCCTACTATTGGAACTGTGCATCAGTGCTTAAATTTATCTGTCAAGATTGGGTATTATGAGTTCCCTTAGCCTTTACCCCCATTCTGACCAAATAAAAAAGTTTAGAAGATGAGGCTTATCTTCCATAGGACTTCAGGCATGAAATGGGATTGAAAATTAATTTTTACTTCCTTCTCCCTGGGTTATAGAGCCTCTTTGTTATTAAGAGTACAACTGTGGGTTTGCTTCCCTGCTCTTTTACTTTGTACTTCATTTTCCATACACTGTAAGGCCATTTATTCTTTCCTTGTGTCCATATTTCATTTCCCAATGAAAAGACTATGCTAGGGAGGAACCAGGTATCAGTTGGAAGGCAGAGTTAAGCAAGTATCTTCCAAAGACAAAGTAGAATAGAGAACGCTACTGTTGTTAATTTATATTATTACATTATGGTGGTGCTAGGATAAAGTGATCGAGTGAAGGTTTAACCTCCTTGAGTACAGAAAACTATCCTGTATTTCTTTGAATTCTCCATAACACAGTAATTGTTAATAGGATTATTGTTCCTACTGAGGTAGGTTTACACTTACATCTCTGTTTTTTCTCTTTAGGGCTAAAGACATTGCCCTCACAAAGTGAAATGATAGCAGAAATAACTAAGGCTCAAGAGCAAATGGCAAAAAGGTGAGAAATTCTCCCAGAGAAATATGTGCTTCATTTTTTCATTTAATAAGAACAATATTGTACTATATTTATCTTCATTGTGTTTGTTAGTTTAAGGATTTAGATTGTATTGCGAAGGAAAAGGAAATAATAGTTTGTGACAACAGAATGAAGAAATAGTACCAAGTGGTTTAGATATGGATGGGAAAGAAGAGACAAGCTTAAGAAAAGTGTTTAAAATCCTATATGTAGGGCCTAAAAGAAATTGTCAAGTAGGAAAAAACCCTTGAAGAGAAAATGGTTTTTATAACTATTATTTGAAATGCTAAGTAGAGCCGCCAGAGAAAGGAAGAGTGAGAATGAACTGAGTGATAGATCTGGTTGAATTCCAAATCCACCGGTAGGCTTACAAAGCTGCAGAGGCCACTGTTCTCACTGGCTCCTGGTAGGAATAGTCTGTGTGATTTGGAAAGGTGGTAGCATCAGCCAGCTGCTTGGTGCTTGGGTGGACACAGTGATTTTAGCAATCTGAATTTCAAAACTGAGCTTATTCACTGGTCAATTTTATTTGGACACAGTGGAAGTTGATGGTTAAGTTCCTAAAATTTTGTGCTAAAGTCAGAGGCACAATCATCCAGGCCTAAAGATGTAGTTTTTCTTGAATTGGTTATACTAGCGTACCTTTTCCCTACCTTGGAGGTGAAAGAGTTTTTATTTAACCCTGATACCCTTTCCAAGTCTTCTAGTTTCCTCTTTCCTTTCACTGCCAAATTTCTGCAATAAATACTCTGCATTATATGCTCTAAATTCTCACCCTTTCCTCCTCCAAAGGTCCCTGCATTGTAACTCCTTGCTACGGCTCTCGTCAAAGTCACCCATGCCCAACTTCATTTTCCTTCCTGAGTTTGACACTTTTAAACATCTCATTCTTCTTGGAGTGCTTGCTTTCCTTGTTTTTCTGGTACTAAAATATCTTATTTCAACTTTTCTGTTCCCTTTACTTTGACTTATTTTTGTCTGGCCACCTGACTGAGCAGTCCCTAAGGATATAATTTTCCCTTTAGTGAGCGTCCGTTATGTACATACACTAAATGGTTTATATGTATGAGTTTATCTATTCCTCATAACAACCCTACAAGGCCGGTACTAGTGAATCTCTTTGTGAAAGATGCATGAATACTACAGCTTGCAACCCAGTAGAGGATAAATGTATGTCTATAAATACTTGAGCCAACATAATATCCATAAGGGACAGCTCCCAAATTCTGTCCTGTCTTCTCTTCTCTTCTAAACTTTAGAATCTGTCAGTTCCTGTGGAATTTCATTCACCAGTTCTACTTCAAATTTATTTTCTATTTTTTTCCCTGTCCTTGCTTTGGATTCTCTTAATAAACCCATCTAATTTCAATTAATTTGACTTGGCTTTTTCTCTTACTTCCTTTCTGTCCCACTGCTCTTTGTTTTATTTTTATTCTAGAAAATAAAATAAAATAAAGTTACCAGTTAGCTCTCTAAATCTCAATCCTTCCACACAGGTATCATCATTACCACATTTTCCCTCTAAAAATCCCTTTTAGCTTTTCAAATCTGCACGTGGTATAATCATCCCACCTGGCTCTATTTGGAGCGTTACTTCCTCTTGTGGAATAAGTCATCCACCCCCCTCCTTTCAAGATTCTGAATTAACATTGGCCATCCGAAGTTGTGCTCTGTGGACCCCATGACCACTGCCCTCATAAAACAGTTGAGAGTCCACAACTTCAGAATTTTTATGATGGGTTCTCTCTTTCTGATAAAATCAGAGTCCTCTGTATCTGGAACTGCTGTACTTGCCTCTCTCTATCCATCCTTGTTTTCCACAACATTCTTCCTCTACTGTAGGGTAGTGCCTACAGATATTTTATACTTACATCCTATTCTCATTCCTGCTTAATTCTTTCACTCTGCTGTCCCCTGACTTGTAATACTTTCCTCTTTGTTGTCAGCTTATTTGTATCTTCCACATCCTTCAAGGACTTATTATAGTCCTATTTTAACTACCCTCTTCTACATTCTTATTTAGCAGTGTAAGATCACATGATTTTCCAAAAGTCTTATATTCTATGTTTCATGTGTATCTATCTTATATTCTTGTCCTTAAGAATAGAGACAATACCTTATCTTTCTTCTCTATTTTCCATACCTCCTAGTATACAGGATACTAATAACAGATACTTAGAAAGCACTGATTAATTGACTGATTGATTGGTTGATTGACGAAATTGTTGATAGGCCATGGCTTTTGTCTTCTCTGCTTCAGGTATGTAGAGAGTCAGCGCCATACCATTCAGGCAGACTATGTGGACACCATGGAAGAGCTTGCTGATCTGGTGGGCGTCAGGCCAAATCTGCTGTCTCTAGCTTTCACCGACCCCATACTGGCATGGCAGTTATTATTCGGACCCTGTACTCCAATCCAGTATCGTCTACAGGGTCCTGGAAAGTGGAGTGGAGCTCGAAAAGCCATCCTCACCACAGAAGATCGCATCAGGAAGCCTATGATGACAAGAGTCGTTGAAAGCAGCGATTCCATGCCTTTAACAATAACAATGGCCAGGTTCATGCTAGCCATTGTTATCTTTGCTATAATGATAACCTACTTTTAGCTGTTCCATTGGGGAGCTGGATCTAGAGATGCCTTCAGAATCTGACAAGACTGAACAACTCTTGAGTTTCACCTTGCCCAGAAATCTTTTCTTTCTCTTTCCAAAGCATTAATCCTCTTTCCTCTTTCCCCTACAAGGAAATTCCAGCTTTTCATTCATATTGACTTATCTCCCTTCTTCTTATGACCCATCATATTTTCCTTCCAGCAATCCCTAGTCTGTGAGCTCTGATACTCTGTTAGTCATCTTTTTATGTCCTTAGAAGAATTATTACATGATGGGTGCTTAATAAATGTTGGTTGTTATCAGATATTATGGTGGGGAGCAGAAGTCAATATCTGTATAAGAAAAGGGTGACTCCATGGAACTCAGCTTCTGATAGGATTTCGTTTTCTATCAGAAGCTCAATCTTTTGTTTGTTTTTAATATTGTAATTAAATGTGTTTCCTGGGGATAAAAAGAAATAACGGTCTTGTAACAGTTGTATATACCTAAGATATATATATACACACTTAAACATTTCGTCTCATTAGCTATTCACTAGTGTATCTGATAGCTGGTCTTTTTGACTCTTTTTCCCTCAGCAAAAGGTCTTTATTATCTCAATGAAGAAACTACCTTAAACTTTCTAGGCTCATGGGTCATTCCAATAATCTAGCATTTGTCAGAAAGTTCAACTTTGTTGGAAAACTTGAAATTTTAAATTAGCTGTCCTATCTTTTTTTATCTTAGTTCTCATATTAGAATCCAACAAGACTCTACCTTGGGAAACATGATAAGTAGCTGCCTACTGTTGTAGTGTGGCCTAACAAATGTTATTTGATTTGTTTCCCACCACTCCTGTGTTTTCTCTTCCAACCTTTCTCACACATAAATAATAAGTATTTGAAAATGTCATTTCTACATTAAATTAGAATTGATATTAATTAAATATAGGGGCATTCAGAAGAAAGGGTGGTGTGGAGGTAGTAAAGAGTAAAGGTGATCAAATATATGATGATGGAAGAAATTTGACTTTGGCTGGTGGGCACCGATGATATAACATAGAATTGTACACTTGAAACCTATATAATTTTATTAACCAATGTCACCCCAATAAATTTAATTTAAAAAATGCCTGGCAAGTGTGGATCAGTGGTTGAGCGTTGACCCATGAACCAGGAGGTCACCATTCAATTTCCAGTCAAGGCGCATGCCTGGGTTTCGGGCTCAATCTCCAGTAGGGGGCGGCAGGAGGCAGCCGATCAACTATTCTCTCTCATCATTGATGTTTCTCTCTCTTTCTCCTCCTTTCTCTCTCTGAAAAAAAATTTAATTAAAAAGAAAAAATAAATATAAAGTCATTCTGCTTATAACAGTTCTCCTTATATCATATAGTGTAGTTCTGAAAAACAGCAAATGAAATGAAAAGCAAGTACTCCAGCTCTGACCAGTGCCACTGTTGATTCTGTTTTCTAATCTGTAGAAGTTATGCTGTGTGTTTGTCTCACAGAGAAGTTAATTAAGTGTTAGCTGTTAGGCACACTTAGTTTCATGAATTAAGGTACTGCATATACTAGCCAGATGTATGTTCATAAGTAGCTGTTGTGCAATACATTTTGGGATCAATGCCTATTACTCAGCAAATGATAAATTTGAAAACCTGAAAGAACAACATTAGAAATTATTATCTTTCCCAATATAAATACACATAAGAGAACCAAAAAGTGAGAACCACAACTTCTTTCTAAGCATATAATTATTTGGACAATTTCCTGCCGTTTGGCCTAATTTACCTATGAAAATGCCTTTTGATAATTAGAGAATTAACAACCAATATTACTTCATAGGTCTTTTTCCTTCCCTAATCCTTACAATGCTGGGGATTTATAATCTATTAAAATGGACCTAGTATCTTTTAATCTGCAGATTACTTCAAAAGTAAATTGAAGGTTGCTTGTTATTTTTTTATTTCTTTCTTTCAACGTGTCAGTTTGCCTCTTTCAGCAAGTAAGTTTGTGAATTAATAGTTCTTTCATAATATAATTCCTAATTATCAGCAACAAGTACCCCAGTTTTCTTTAAACATTTTTTTATTCTAAATTCATTAACTGTCTCATTCTCCTTATAATTTGGAAGGTTACAAAAAAAATCACTGGTTAACTTCTAAACCAAGCTAAAAGTAAAATATGATTAGGAAATCGAACTCAAAACAATTCAATTACTACAAACCCATAATAACTAATAAATATGCACTAATATTCATCAATTTATCATATCTTGCCACTATACTAAATGGTCATATTATTTCTCCTATTAGATTATACCATAGAATGCATCCATATAGAGCCAAAAAATATGGACATGCTCAAAAAGCAAACTGATGGGGTATGTCAAAGCCACACAGAAGCCCACTGAAGGTGGCCCCAATGGTCAAAGATGTAACAAGCAATAAAATAAATTACCTGATATTAGATTATAAAAAAATACCCATGAGTCTGTATTAATACAAATCTATATATATAAAAGGCTAAAATGCAAAGTGTCCCCGTGGGAATTCGACCAGGAAACCAAAAGTTCTATTGCTCGCTGTGATGTGCGCTGACCACCAGGGGGAAGCATAGAATGAAGGAAGGCCCTGGCCGGCAGCTGGCAGCTGGGGAAGGGAGGCTCAGGCTGGCAGCCCGAAGGTCCCAATCAGCCCTGATCACCAGCCAGGCCTAGGGATCCTACCCGTGCACGAATTTCATGCACCGAGCTTCTAGTGTTTTAATTATTAAGAGGGGAAGAATACACAAATCTCCAACCCAGAATTCCAAATAACTTATGTAGACACTCTGCCTTTGTCAGACTATATATCACTTGGTTCTCTCACCTGTTTCCTTCTTGAACTAGTAAATTCCATAGAGGAAGATACTTTTTAAGTAATCTGTATGTTGCTAGTGCTGCCTAAAACATGACCTGAGTTCGTTAATGATTACTTAATTGAATAAATAAATTTGACATAAGAGGTAAAAGTATGAATGTATTTTTAAAGGATGAAATAATATAGTGAATATATCTCAACATAAATAAATACACACATACGTAAAAAGTATTATTAAAGAGAGTAAGGAGTGCTTAACATTTTGCAATGTCTGTGGGGCAAGACTGTTCTAGAAAATATTCTGGAGTAGATCACTGATCTGAGTCAGCATGTCATCTCTAATGTCCTGTTTGGTTAGAAACACAAATGATATGTCCTGTCTATAACTTATAGGCATACCTTAGAGATATTGTGATTTCAGTTCCAGACCACCATAATAAAACAAGTACTGCAATAAATTGAGTCTTAGTCATTTTGCTGGTGGAGGGTCTTGCCTTCAATTTTTTAAAAAAAAATGCAATACCTCTGAGACTCAATCCAGCAAAGCACAGTAAAATGAGGTATTCTGTAAATTCTCAAACACACATCTACTACTCCTTCTTGCCTGTGAAAGTCAGTATCTTAACACAAGAAAGGAGGAGTGGTAGAGTCTTCCTTGGTCGTGACTGCTGCCTTGATCCTCACAGCTGTTTCTCCCTGCTTTCTCAAATTCCCACCTTCTTGAAGCACCCACTATCTCTAGCTCAGTGGTTCTCAACCCTCCTAATGCCGCGACCCTTTAATACAGTTCCTCATGTTGTGGTGACCCCCCAACCATAAAATTATTTTCGTTGCTACTTCATAACTGTAATTTTGCTACTGTTATGAATCGTAATGTAAATACTAGCTGATTAACACAAAAACATATTTCTATTATTTTCCAGTAGGTGGAGCTGGATCACAAGTTTTTTAGCTCTGTGAGATCTCAGCATTGTCTGCCTTGACCTCTGGTCAGTGTAGCCAGGATGCCTTGGGGTGGGCTGGGGAATCCCTACACTCCTTTGTTGTTTTATACTCGTTTTTTGTTGTTGTTGTTGTTTTACACTCAGTAATGGAGACCTCGGTCCTCTGCCAGGGTCCTCCCTGTGTTCTGGTTAAAGAGTGTACCCTTTGCTTAGGGAGAAATGTGATTCTGCAGTATTAGATCTTGGGCCCGTGCCCTTGGGGACGCAGGTAATGTGGTCTACAACCCGACATCAAGGGCAAAGGGAGGCAATCTCTGGGAGGTTAAGGGTAGGCGGCCAGCCTTTGTGGCTTGGCTTCACTGTCTGAATTGCCAACAGCCCGACAACTGTGGCCGCTCTCCCTTGCTGTGCTTTTGCCCAGGTCTCTGTGCTCAGCTGCAGCGATGGCTGCTCATTCCTGCAGGAGTGTTCATGTAGTCTCTGCTCCTCCCAGATGAATGGTGTGTCGGTGACAACCAGATTCCTCCCTCCCTGGATGAGCTCCTGGCTACTGGGCTGTGTTTCTGGCTCTTATTGTCAGTGTAGGTAGCTATTTATTGCTATGAGGAAATAGCTAGTTATTAATATAAGGAGAAATGCAAAGGGGGAACTAAAAAAATCTTAATAAACTGAGAAGCAGAAGCAGATAACAGAGCAGAATTCCATCTAGTTTACTGGTAAACACTCATTCACACACTCCAGAGGAACCGCCTCCCCCCCCCCCCCCCCCATTT